ACTCTACCTAAATTGTCTTTCTCATGCCAAGCAGCTTGCACAAAAAAGAAAGAAAATTCTTCAGCGATTTAATTGCCCTGGCCTGGAAAGCTGCTTGGCAAAGAAAAAAAGCAAGAGTTAGACTTAAAAAACAGAGGATTTAATCTATCAGAGGGAGCACTATATGTTTAATATACTTGTTTGGATATGATTAAAAGAACAGATGACCCTTAGATATAACTATATTTTTATAATGGAAGATATGATTTAGAATTAAAATAGCATTTCTTTTCTTTTTTTGATATGGGAAATTTGAAAGTAAGAGGATTGGTATGAGTAAATTTTTTTATCTATATAAATGTAATTAATATTGAGAAAATCATAACTGACAAAGATACTTTAAATATTGGCGGGAAATCAAACTTTAATAAGAGCAAGAAAAACAGGATATTGACTTATGAATTGATATTATTGTTACTTCTATAGTATTAGCAAAATATGATGAAGATATCTATATATAATTTTGTATACATCAATAGTATTAAGAATTGTAATTGTTTAATGAGGGGAAATGGGAAAAATATGGGGAAGAAAGGAAGATGAAGGAAAAATACTGGATTGTGAGTACTGAACAGATTTATATTGAAGAAGTTAATGTTAAATATGTGAACCCAGACAACATGTTGTTTACTAAGCTTTAAAGATTCTAATTTAAAAAAATTAATAAAACTTATAAAAAAACAGTGGCTTGCTTCCTTACCAATTTATATTTAACTGAAAGTTGTTTTGTCATTTTTTTCAAATAGAAATTCCTTTCATTTATGCAAGTCATCTACTAATGGACTTGAGATATATTGATACCAAGGGTAAAATACAATAATAATGCAGTAAATTAAAATAACAATAACAATAATTCCATAGTGAATCCCCAAATGCCTTCCAGAAAAGCAGGGGTTTTTTTCTGCAGAGAAGGCTATTCCATAGGAGAAGCCCCCACACATGATGCCTGCAGTTATATCCACTCCTATTATACCTCTTAATAATTTGGGGCTCTAAGCAGTCTCCGCTGCTGTCTGACCATGAAAAAATGAATGGCTGCAAATATTATATCTCTACAAACCAATCTGTAATTCAAGAAAATGAAAAGATAACTATCTGGAACTCAAATATTCTTTCTCTATTGAGATTGTCTACCTTAATTAAAAGTAATTCACTTTCCAAAGTTAAAGACAACTATTTCTAATAAACTTAGCATTTCAAAAAAAGTCAAATGGTAACTAATATTTCCAATGGTATTCCCATATGGGTATTATTAGAAAGAATATTCACATGCAAAATAGGTAATTAAAAGTAGAAACATAAACAGAAATATAATATATATATATTATATTTCTTTTGAAATATGATATATTTCTTTTGAAAATAAAACAATGAAATCCTAATAATTCAGTTTCATTTGTTTAAATCAAATAATTCATAAAAACAATGTACTTACAATATTGTAAAAAAAATAAACCTTGCATATACTAAGCTTACATGTTTCCAGTTATTGCGGGTCAGATGATGTTACAGAATAAGCCTCTTCATAGTCATAACTTTGTAATATCGTTCACCAATATCAGATATGAGATTTTAATTCTGATATGATATTAATCATGGATTTCACCCATTTTACCAAATCACAAAAGCACATGTCCCCCCATTTTTAGACTTGTACTGCTCTTCTGTCCATAGAACTACAGTCTTTGTAAATTAATCTATCCTATAAATAGAATATCACATCAAATCTTAGAGTTGCAGTATTTCAAAACAGTCATCTATACTTTAGTGATATCATTATTAAACTACCTGAATTGCATTCCTCACACAGTAATCCCTGAAGACAGTGTAGAAGCTTCATCTGGTATAAAAATGCAGCAAAGAGGCTGCTACATGCTGCATAATCCGGGGATCATATTCTCTTTGTGCTACACTGTTTTAAACTTTTAAGTCTCAAGATAGCTTCAAAGCCGATTACCCAAGACGGCCTATCTCAACTTTAACCTCCCCAGCTTCAAGATCAACAAGAAAGGCCCACTTAAACCTTTTCAAAGGCCTATTTGTTTCCAGCACAAGTGAAGGGCTCCAAGCCGTGGAACAGGCTCCTTTGAAAACTGCTCTTAGCTCTCCTTGTTCCCACTGTCAGGGAAGTAATTAAGACTTTCCTGTTCTGCTAGGCCTTTTGATTATATCTTTGTTAAAATCGTAACAACAAGAACCAATCCACTGGAGAGCCAGTTTGGTGTAGTGGTGAAGGTGCTGACCTAGATACCAGGAGCTGGTAAGACTTCTGTCAACGTTGCTAACATTGGATGTTTTTGCATTGACAACAGATGGAAATGCAGCCATCTTTTACCTTTTGCTTTAGACTTAGATGATGCTGGGAGGGGGGATGTGAACGAGAGTTCAGCTAGACATAACAACACTAAATCTAGTGTGAGAAACAAGGTTATTGTAACCAGAGCTGATAAAGAATTGGTGGGCTGGAGAACTGGAGAAGAAGTCTGCACTTTGAGCTAATAGGGGAATGTGATTTATGACTGTTAATTGGAGGAGGGAATTGTGCTTTGATACTATGTGCTCAGGGGAGGGGAATTCAGTTTTTGGCTTTGATTATGCAGTGCCGATATTATGCTACTCAAAATAAAGACTCTTTAAGGTAAATAATGCCTCGAAGTTCTTTTGAAGAGTTTCATCTGTCAGAACTGTGACAACTTCTTTTAGGCAGCTGGATGACTCTGGGCCGATTCCTCTCTCTCTCTCTCATCCCAACCCACCTCACAGGGTTGTTGTCATGGGGTAAAAAGAAGGCAGGAGGATTAGCCTTGAGTTATATAAAAATATAGAATTAAAACGTAGTATAATCATCATCTCACCCAGCCATCAAATCATTTTCTTGAGCCTGTCCGTTTTGCTTGCTGATTGGTGATCAGAGAGGGAAAGCTAAGAGGAAATTTGTGGGTCCCCCACTGGCAGGACAACAGCCTTGCTGAGGACATTTTCCCCAAGGATTGTGAGTACAGTAAGCAACGGAGTCATGTATCCATCCTTTTAAGATGGCAGCAATAGCTGTCTCTCAATATATGCCAAAGTTGTAATGAAAAAGCCTTTAACATGGGTGGCACTCAGGTTTAACAAATAATCTGTGTCTTAAAATTTGTGGCCAGCATGCCTAATGAGACTGGAATTTCAGAAGAGATTAACTGAAGGCTAGCTTTATTGTGTTACCTTGTAAAACATCCAGCTTTGTGGCAGAAGAAAGATCTGTCCTCTAATGTTTGGACTGTGTCATTGAAGTGAATAGATCATTAAACACTGCAAGTGATTATGCTCAAGGCAGGGTGCAAGTTGCCAGGAGTATTTTAGGATGAGGCGCAGAAGGAATATTGCAATCTTACTGTTCTTAACACTGTACAAGCCTGCCTTTCTGCAGGAAGTTGAGCTCACATCTTTGCAAGTGTTTGGTCTCCCATGGCAACCTATATGTCCAGGAATAAAATAGTATGTTTTACTTATCCCCAATTCAGCCTTTCTGATAAGCTATTAGGATCTAACAAGGAGAGATGGCGTTCTTTCCTGCCTGCCCTTTGTGTTCCCTGTGAACTGTTAGAGTTGCAGCTCTACCTAGGCAGCTCCGTCAAATCAATGCTTTTGTTCTTAGCATTTATCCCACTTGGTTGCAGTATCTGCTTGTTTTTGCATTGTGCTTACCTCGTTGTTCTCACCACAAAGCTAACAATGCATGATGCAATGAGGGTTTTTGTTTTCCAGCTGGCTTGTTGCAGATGGAGTGCACAGTGAGCTTCCATGCAGAAAGGAAGAATAGAACTCGGATTTTCCATCTCTTAGTTCGGCATCTAAACCCATATACCATGCTGGCTTCTTCAGATCAGAATATCTACAGTAATTCAAAATGTTATTAAAATGTTATCTCAGTGGGAGTCTTCTATGCATCAAGAGTTGGTTTGAGAATCATATCCAGGCTTTGATGAGGGGGAATGGAATCTAGCAATGCTCCTCTTTTAATGTTGAAAACATTGTTAACTAGAGGAAAAATGTTCTTGTGAAAAGCTTAATGTGGGATTTTAACAGATGGATTTGTCAGATAACAGCATTAGCATTTATCTATGTGTACAGCATAGAATTGGTGATTGGGTTCTCAAAAGATTCTTATTGGACTGTTTAAAGAAAGTTACAGCATCATTTAATTACATTAGATTGTATGTAAGAATTTTGGTGGATAAAGATTGCAAAGTTTCTTTTATGAACCTTTTAATATTATTTAAACATTACAATGTATTCAACACTGTATGAATTATTAGCACATATATAATGAATATTGTGTATGTCATTGTATATATTATAGTACCATTAGAAATTAGGCAGAAATACTAAAAATAAACCTGCTGCAGTATCAAAATATTCTTTGGTATTAAGCTCTATAGTGGAAAATACACTATATTCTTCCTAATTATTGTTCAGCTGGAAAATAAAGTCATCCATTCATTCATTCCACCGCTTTTGTAACCCACTCCAAGCCACAAACACTGGGTAGCATATAATAGAATAAAAATGTTAAATTAAAAAACAAAGGAAGACAATACAATTAATTAAAAATGGTAGCCATTAATGGTAGGCATTAAACATTCATTCTGATTAAAAACATGGCAGGGCACTGCTGTTCGGATGGCTTCCCAAGAAGGAATGGGCTTCATAAATCTCTGGGTGCAAGGCATTTGGTATACAAAGTCCCAAACAACCTAATTCCATGTCTCTGGGGCAGTGTTCCAACCACTAGGTGGATTTTCTGTTATAGTATTGCCACATTAGTATATATTTCTGATGCATTTGCTCAAAACATTTACTGCCTATAGACCACAACTGTTTTTCTTTCTCCTTTCTAGGAATAAAATGAAGGAATTTCATTCCGAGAGCTCTCAGATGTACAAATAGCTATTTTAAAACTCCAATAAGCACCAGAAAATACTTTAAAATATAGTCCATCATGGATTACAAGGCTGGAGGTAAAAGGAAGCAGCAGCATAGTTTGAATTTACTAGATCAACTAAAATGTATGAAAGATTTAACTGAAATGATTGATGTGGTGTTAGTGGCTGAAGAAAAAAAATTCCCTTGCCACAAATTGATCCTGGCTGCTTTTAGCCCCTATTTCAAAGCAATGTTTACTTGTGGGTTGATGGAATGCGCACAGAGAGAAGTTGTGCTACATGACATAGCAGCTGAAAGCATATCCGTTCTCCTGCACTACATGTACACTTCTGAATTGCATCTCACAAATTGTAATGTACAAAATGTGGCCATTGCTGCCTTTTTTATGCAGATGGAAGATGTGTTTAGTCAATGTCAAACCTACATGATGGACCACATTGAAGCTTCCAACTCTGTAGGGATCTATTATTTTGCAAAGCACATTGGGGCAGAAGAACTATCTGAACGAGCCAGGAAATATTTGTACCAGCACTTTACTGAGGTGAGCCAGCATGAAGAAATACTAGAGATAGAAGCTCAGCAACTGCTAAGCCTGATCAGATCCGATGATCTGAATGTATCCAGAGAAGAGAGCATCTTGGACTTAGTCCTTAGATGGGTTAACCACAGTCGGAAGTTGCGTGCAGATCATCTCATTGAGCTCCTGAAGCAAGTAAGGCTGGAACTTGTAAGTCCTTCATTCCTAGTGGAAGCTCGGAAAAGGAACACAGTGCTTCTGAGTAATTCTCAGTGTATAGACATGATTGAGGGAGCCTTAGAAACCATGAAAAAATCCAATCAACTTTCCCTCAGCCTTCGGTATGGCATGGAGACCACTACACTTCTCCTTTGCATTGGCAATAACTCAGGGGGGATCCGATCAAGGAAAGGTAATTATGCCGAGGCCAGCTTCTGTTACGCACCTCTAACGCAAAAGACCTACTTCATTTCCTCTCCAAAATATGCAGAAGGCCTTGGCAGTATATACACCGGTGTGGTTACTGAGGTCAACAGAATTGTTGTTGCAGGGGAGGCGAGTGCTGCCAAGATGTCTAGACAAAAGACCAGGAAGATTGAAATTTATAGGTTTGTATGGGGGGGGGGCACTAAGACACAAAATATTCCTATATCATTTCCACTCCCCAACACTTAAAATTACAAATGGCCATATAGAAGGAAAGATTCAAGTGGTATTCCCAAGAATTATTCAGTGCTGTGTGATTTTTTCTTCTAAGCCTATGATAGAACTTCTAACATCAAAGTGAAATTTCTAACATCAAAGTTAACCAATGAATAATCTTCCTCTGGCTCCTTTTCTAGATCAGTTATAATGATGGAAGACAATCTTAACTAAATGCAAAAAAGTTTTGGACAATTCTAAGTCATCATCCAACTTTATAAATTACGTTTGCAAAGTTAAAAGGCATCGTGTAGGGATTAAGTTCTTGTGGAATATTTATAAAGGTTGGATGGAATCCTCCACTATTGTTTTACACACATTCCATTGGCTTCTAAATTGACTGAATACAGCATATACTATACTGCTCAAAAAAAATAAAGGGAACATTTTAACATGGAACTGAAGGGGTTTGCGTTCCCTTTATTTTTTTTGAGCAGTATATATTTATATCTATATATTTAAAACAGGTCTGTCAAGCAGAGTTATTTCAGGTTGTGAATGAAACAATTAGGTGTTTGCTCATTCATTAATGACACAATGGCAAGGTCTATAGTGCCCTCTAGGTGCCAGATATAATGCTATAAGCAACTTCTTTCTTTCTGGAGTTATTTTGCCCTTATTCAGTCATGAGGACAATACAAATGTATATCTGTAGTGCTTTCATTCTGTGCTGCCTTGTTAATATTGAAAATGTTAATATTGAAGGAAAATGAAAAGTATAGTCCTTGCCATACATCCCACTAAAATTCAGGAAAACTGCTTTAAATACATTTGGTTAGGATTGAGTTTCTAAGGCTATACATATGCATTGCCAAGTCAGATTTTGCCTTTTAATAAAAAAAAAATAGCAAGCAAAGGGAATAGTCATCTTGAACTGCAAGATGGGCAGCAAATGAATTTAATAATAATAATATTAAAAAAATATAATAAGAGAGGGATTTTCTAGGAGGAAATTTTCTTTCCTGATCTCATCTGATTTCTTAATGATGGGTATGCCCCTAGTTATGCCCCAAGGTTCAATGCTTTTTTTTACAGATTTTTAGCACAATTCAGCTCTTTTAGCACAATCCAGCAAGATCTCTTAACATAAGATCTTGCTGGATTAACCATATGCTACCCTGACTGTTGCTGCTCTGGTTAACTAATATATTTATTATCTACATGGAGGAGGATAGGAAGCAAACAGAATATTTTGAGGATGTTGATTGGGTGATGAATAGCCAGTAGTGAAAGACATTTCCCACTATATTCCTAATATTCAGGCACCTCTCCGACAAGGCTAATATAATTGGGGCAAGGGGGCAGTTATGTCCCCAGACTGCGTGGGTGGGTAGAGAAGGAAACGGGATAATAGTCAGAAAAATTACCTCTGTAAAATCATAGCATTTAATAAGACATGTCAATTTATGCCATTGGACATTTGTCAAAATTAAAATTCTTTTTTAACCCCATGTTGGGCCTACTTAAGAATAAAAGCTGTACTTAAGGAGAGAAGGTTAGGTACAAATACATAGGTAAACTGTGATAAATTAAATTCTAATATGAGGATTCATTACAGGTATGAGGGTCATGGAAATCGATTTTGGGAAAGCCTGTGCACAGCGCAGTTTCGTGAACTGTATGCTTTAGGCACTATCCATCATGATTTATACATCATAGGAGGTCAAATGAAACTGAAAAACCAATATCAAATTACCAATATTGTGGAGAAGTACTCCATGGAGCAGGAGAACTGGAGAACTTTGGCCCCGCTCCCAGTGCCGCTGGCTTGCCATGCAGTCGTTGCTGTGAAAAACAGGCTGTATGTCATCGGAGGATGGACCCCACAGGTAAGGAACGTTGCTAAGCGTTTCGGGACACGGAGTGCTCTCTGAAGCCATTGTCTGTGCTTGCTAAAGCAGCCTTCACAGTTGGAATGTAACTGCAATCATTGCCATTCAGAAAAATTACAAAAGCTACTGCTGATGGATGTGCTTGCTTTCAGGCAGTAGGGCAATATCTCTTTTCTCTTGCCATTTAAAAAAAAATCCTTTTGGCTTTCAGGTCTTAGTGCATATGCTGGATCAGTCTGTGCATTCAGTCGATCCAGTTATTGTCTGCTGTAATTGGTAAAGACTCTTCAGCCTCTCTCTAGATGATGTTTGCCGCTGGCTGCCTCTGAGGCTGAAGAATTCTGACTTACTCAAGATCAAACAGTTATTATTTAGGAGGGAAATAAGATTTTAACTGGACTTTCCAGTTCATTCTCTTGACTAATGCAACACATCAATTCCAACTTTAGAAGATGAAAATTACTTTGGTTTGAAAGTCACTGAGGGAGGGAAGGAAACTTTGTCTATGTACCACACATTATACCAGAAATATTATTTGCCGGCACTTGATGTGATCTTATTGATGGACAGAGAAAGATAATCTGCCTTTAAAGGCAGACTTTGAGACTAATTACAGAGAAAGCAGGAGAGCCAATCTGGTATAGTGGTTAAGGCATTGGGCTAGAAATCAGGAGACCATGAGTTCTAGTCCCAACTTGGGCCAGTCACTTTCTCTCAGCCCTAGGAAGGAGGTAATGGCAAACATTCTGAAAAATCTTGCCAAGAAGAGTGCAGAGACTTGTTCATGCAATCTCCATGATTTGGACACAATTGAATGGAAGAAAAAAACCCACAACGCAAATTAACAATTACTCTGGTTTCTAGTGCTGTTCACTGATTGCTCTTCAGTGGTAAATTAGAAGTCAGTTTACAATACATCTTGCACATTATTGAGAATACTGCTATTTTTATATGAGGCTTGCCAGACTGCCAAGCTATCTATTTCTTGTTTGTCATTAACATTGAAATAAATTTTGAATACTTCTGAGTCATTTGTATCTTTTCAGATATATGTTGATACTCCTAACAACATAATCATGAGCATGTCTATATTTTTATTTGTCTAAAATTGTCAGAAAACATCAAACACTCTTTCGCTGCAGTTATGCAGTGTGAAGTAATAAACATCTGTTCATCTTGCCACAAAAATTGAGTAACTTACTAGCCATCTCCTCTCTGCTCATAATACAAGTATTTTATTAATCCACATTTAGCCAGTAATTTCAAAGGAAAAGCCTTCTGACAGACTGCTCTGTGAAAAGTGAGGGTGAGGGACGATTGATTATTAAAAATTTAAATTAATGTCCTTGGGTCACAGAAACTCTATAACCATGGTGACATAGCAGGAGAACTATATTCTTGAGTGGCTGCAGTCATGGTTGTGGCAACGCAGCCAAAGAAAACCCTACAACCTTGATACGAACGCCATTATATGAATGTCCACATGCTTGGTATTATGTTATATCCTAGCATTTTCCCACAAATGCAGGGCCTGCTTTTTTTTATTGATTGTGACAGGAATAGACTGACTGGCTTGTCCCCAAGCTGACATCATGAGCCAAGACAGGCTGACTGGTCCAAAGTCACCCAGTTCTCTTTCATATCTAAGATGAGACTAGAACTCACAGTCTCCTGGTTTCTAGTCTGGTGCTTTAACCACTAGACCAAATTGGCTCTTTATGTCACAGAGCAGTACTAAAGTCTTTCTGAGTGGTAGCAGTGAGGGAGTTAAGGAAGAGCAATTCGCTGGAACACCTGCTGCTCATATTAAAATGTTGTCTTTCAAAAAGGATGAAGGTATAAGCAATAACAGCATCTACAGCATTTTCTTCTGAAAAATACTCAGGCTTCTCTACGGTTTATATTTTCCACAGGGGAAAATCTAAAATGTAATTAGTGGATGGTGAAGTGATATTGGATGCCCTTTGAAAAGTGAGTGCAGCTTGCACTACTTCACCAAACATTGGACAGAAGTATTATTTCTCTATTGTACTTTTAGAGCTGGAAGTGAGTTGTTTGTATTTTCTACCTTAGATATGAAAATGTGTTGTACATTTTTTGAATATGGCATTGCTATACATATGGAAGATCAGCAGGAAGCACTTTATTTAAACTTGTGAAAAACTAATATGTGATAGGATTGCAGGGTAGAATTGCAATTTGAGACTGGGTATTGTGCTATGATGCATACTGATGTTTCTAAAGCGTTCAAAAATGCAAAAGATTCAATTCAAATAATTATATTTTCTTATATTTATTGTGGCATTAGCCTCTGATATAAGAAAAAAAATCATATAGAAAAGTTAGGTCTATATAAAATTAGTTTAATCAGGAAAATAAAGCCTGGAGACTTTAGATTACATTTAGCTATTTGTGAATCTAACTTGGATTAATTCCATTTAATAAGATTTATTTATGATTAGGTAGGATTGGATTGCAGATGGGGCAATGAATTACAGTACTGACAGCTAATTAACTTTCAGAGAGCATAAAGGTTTGCTGACATATCAAAGTGCTACATTGAGAATTTTTTCTGAGGTCTGCAAATATTTCTTTTTTTGAGAAAGGTTAATGTAAGAAGCATAGTTCTGGGTAGTCTTTCTATAAAAGAAATTAGAGCTTAAAATGGATTAGAAAGTTTATGTTAGCCACTATATTAACTTAACAGTATATTGTGAAAACTTGAGACAGAATAGGCAGTTGCCTCAGATAGTAGATGCTTAAGAAGGAACAAAATATTAGAGAGAGTGTCACACCCAGTCTGTGCTGCACTGTAGGATTGGTCATTTTTGTTATCTGCCTCATGAAGCAAATATATTAGTCTAACTTTTGCTAGACCAAGTTCATGTTGCTTTGTCTACGTTAAGGAAATTGTAGCCAAAAATGGCAGGACTATTTGGAGCCACATATCTGCCTAAGGTTATGAAGGAAGGACAGAAACTAGAAACTGAAAAAGAGCAAGGTTGCTACATGGGCAACCGTCCCAGGCTAAATTGCAAGATTAGATGGGGGGGGGAGTTGGAACCATCACACGAGGAATTTGGGAATGGGAAGAACCTGAGCCGAAGTGATGAGCTTTGCAGAAGGATTTGATGGGCTTCTGTATGAAACAGGATGCATCTAGTTGAATGATCAATCTCACAGAGATCTTATCATGTTTTTATGTAGGAATGCATATGTAGGGTGGGTCTTCTTAATACCGATCTTGCATGAATTAGGAAGCTAATTGCCACGTCTCTCACAAAATAATAGGTGGCAACCCATTTAAAATGAACCTTTCAGTCTAATGGATAAAGGTTTTGCCCCACAGAGCCTATTAGGTAAATAATAAAGGAAATGAAAAGCATGAAGGCAATATGTACTATACCAAATATAAATTTCTATATAATTTGCTATAACAGACCTGCAGATATCTGGAGATGTAGTTAATATACACAAATATTGCTCCAGTTCCTATTCTTTATTGTTTTATATATTTAAACAGAAATAATTTTGGAAAACACAGGAAAGGTGTTTGGGCATTATATTAGTCTTGCCATTGAAATCCCTAACTATACAAAGTACCTAAAACTTTAAAAATGCTGCATCAAGTTTAGAAATAAGATCTAAAAGATACAATAGAAAAATAAAAAGAGAATGAGGGGGTGGAGAAGAAATTGAACAAATCAGTATGCTAGTCTTAAGGATTACATCATCTCAGTGATATTTTCTGAGCTGGGGATGAGATCCATCCTGCTTTTCAGTATACCATCTTTATGATTTAGACTACAATATGCAGTATATTATTTGTTTGTTTCTCTACATCAGCAGTTCTCAACCTATGGGTTGCAACCCCATTTGGGATCGATCGACCATTTCACGGGGGTCGCCAAGCAAGGCTGTCCGCCATTTTTCCCCCCTTTTCCGGCGGGTGCCTTACATCCCTTGAGCTGGGCCAGCTGGTGGTAGGCCTGCTCTGTCTCTGCCACTTGCCAGCTACGCCTCGGCCGGCGCAGGGGGCGGAACAACGCATGCGCGGCGCTCCCAGGCAGGGAAAGTCCTCGACTTACGACCAGTTGGGGGTCGCAGCATTAAAAAGGTTGAGAACCACTGCTCTACATGAAAAACTACATATAAAGTTCACCTGAGCAAATCCTACAAGGAATTTTGTAGGTGCTTAATTCTTACACGATATGATGGCTTGTATAAAATACCAGTTTCTTAACCTCATAATTCCACAAATTATATCTCAATCTTTGGAGGGGAGAATTTGTCAGAAGAATGATAGTATCAGGCTTACTTACATATGTATAGGCTGAGCAAATAGAAACAAACCCACAAGCAGTGTCACTTTCCCAACAATAACACTCCACTTCTTCAGGCACTTTGTGCAGGATTTTAATTTCTGTCTTCCACTATTCAACCTACAAGGAAGAACCTCTGAATATTCAGCAATCTTCCATATATTCGTAGTACAGTAACATTTATAAGCATTGACTACCTACCTACCTAAGAGCCTTGGTGGTGCAGTGGTTAGAGTGCAGTATTGCAGGCTAATCCTGCCAACTGCCAGGAGTTTGATCCCGACTGGCTCAAGGTTGACTCAGACTTTCATCCTTCCAAGGTCAGCAAAATGAGGACCCAGGTTATTGGGGGTAATATGCTGACTCTGTAAACCATTTAGCGAGGGCAGTAAAATGCTATGGTGGTATATAAGTGGTATATAAGTCTAAATGCTATTGATACTTACCACAGTCACTTAGGTGAGAGATGCGGTACAGAAATTTAATCAATAAATATTGAATGTATAATGTAAAATCATGTTAGTCTACACATGATTTTACCATCAGCATTCAACATTAAATGTGTTAATCTGCACATTAAAAAGCTGCAGCTTTCATGAGCCTATGTAATAAAATTTATTAATTGGAAAAGGTGCTACTAGACTCCTGATTTTTTGATAAGCTTAGGTTGAAAAC